AAACCTCGATGTCTACGGCATTTTCGCTCAGGATACTCTTAGTGTTTTCTATATCCCCTGATTTATTCCGTCGCCTTTTGAATTTCAGATTCTGCAGAAATCTATGAAATCCAGCAAACCTCTCGCTATTATCAGCTTTTGTCTGGTTTGGGTCCGTCTCTCATTGGGTTTGTCAATCTGATTTTCCCTTATCGCTACTCGTCTCTCCAGGAAACAGGTTTCAGATGTTCAGGAAAGTCCGATTGACGTCGCTTTCATTCATATTGGTGGTACCTCGCATCTACTGTCGTCCATCGGTCGTGACCACCACCTACGCTTGTGGGATATTCAGGTCAGTTTGTGGTTGCCAAAAGACGCATATTACTTTTAACAAAAGTGATCTTTCGGACCGGTGTACATCCATTCATGCTCGAAAAAGTGCCCGACCTGTAGGGAAAGAAGATATTGGGTGGCGAGGCACTGATGAACTGCGGTTAGATGAAGTGCTTATGACCCATCTGACGGACCCGATCTCTCGACCATTTTTGCCATTTGAGATCATATATGTTTCTGGTCTCAGCTGATGGTCAGGGTTATGGTTGACAGAATGAAGCCAGAATAAACGTGAAACAGTACTGGTTAAATGTTCCCTCATTCCCTGTCTTCCTCCCTCTGTGGTAGAGGACGCTCACCGAAAGGAGAGATAATTTATAATTCAATGGTTAAAGTGTTTGACTAATAACCAGCAAATTTCGGTTCGTACCCCGGATATTGCAAACCTTGGGTTGGCTACGACTGGCTAATAAGACAGAAATAACCGTTCCAGTCTTCCTTGCTTATGTCGCTTATCCCTTTCTAAATAAATATATATTATTGGCAGAAATGTGTTACCGAAAAAGACAAGGGAGACTGGAGTGCCCATTTCTGGCTTATTAGCTGTCATCAGCTGACCACACCCAACCTCAGGGAGGGCGATCCTCCAGGTTCAAATCCACGACCTCATTAGTTGGAAGTCCAACGCTCTAATCACTAGTGGCTGATGGTGGTCAATATGTCAGCTATGACCATTCTAGTTTCCCTTGCCTTTGTCGGTAATGTATTTCTATCTATAACAACTATTTATTCACTCATTAGACAAATCCCTCAGGTCCCAATGGCCACCAAACTCAGCCAAGTTCCAAACGCCTGTCCCAGGGGATTATGCTTTATCTTCGGAAAACTTGTCTCGACGCATTTTTAAGACATGCTTTTTTTGCTTACGTCTACAGAAGAAGACCTGTGTCGCGGAAATCGATCTACTGAGTGAATTTTGTCAGCGTTTTCATCCATTCAGGGAGCATTCAAACACATCCTCCCAGCGTCATTTGTCCTTTGCAGCCGGTGCTAGGCACCGCATTCGCGGTTGCCAGAACCAGTCAAGTTCAGAAGGTTATGCTGTCATCTACTTAGAACTTGTCCCCACCGAAGGCGTAATCACCCGGCAACTGCCACCTGCCTGTTGGGTGTGGGTCAGGGTTGACCTGTCGCTCGCACGCCAGGGTTCTCGTCAGTCAGCCTCCGTCTTCCGAATGGATCCTATCAACTCCATCAAGACTGCTTTAGCTCAACTGGCTGATGGACCAAAGCGCAATCCTCACGCCACCCCCAGCCATCACGCTCTCATCGACTTTCTTCCCTG